CTCGGCCATTAGTACATAAACATATTACTCGCTTCTTAACAATCAAAGCTGTGAGGTGCTCACTTCCCTAAATACATCTCTCAGTATCCCGTTTTCATTTCAATTTAGTCTAGCTGAAGAGTTTCAATGCAATTCTATACGGAAATGTAAAGAGGGAATACTAATAAATATAAGAATCTTAACATATTTCACCTCTCTCAGTCTACACTTCCTTAAATACAAAGTTAAAGCAGTGCAGGGGATCAAGGGTTTCAGTTAGACAATTGGTCGAACAGCTTCACCGCGTTATCTACTCCTCGTGCAAGGGATCAAGGGTCTCTGTGTAAATTCTCTGTTTATCAAAACAATTTGGTAAACAATCATATATTATCAGGCACATTCCAACGAAATAGTCATAGATAATACATACCTGATAGTCTGTAATTGCAGAGAGTCTCCTTCAACTGCTGGCTGACTCACTATTGCCGAGATCAATCATAGAATTATAACAGAAGGGATGTGTTGGACTTTGTTATAATCTTTTCCTCCTTGCGACAGTTTCTTCTTCCATATCTTTCCCATACCATAACAGGCGAGACTCTTCAAGGAAGTGATAAATTGCAACCCATCAGGAAGCTCTTTTAATTTTCTGCAATCATGAATTTCGAGAGTATGGAGAAGAGGCATGGAGCCTTCTTCTATTATCCACTCTTCCCATTCATGTAATCCAATAAATAGTAGCTTCTGCAATTGAGGAAACCCACCCCTAGAACAAACCATTCTCTTCCCAAAGAAAGTTCCAACATATAAACTAAGCTCTTTCAAGTGAAGCAATTTCTCTAGAATCGTCATTAGATCCTCTGTCAAACAAAAACCACTTAGACCTATAGTTGTAAGGTGAGAGGGAAAGTAGAATTCTGAAAATCTTGTACTTAAGTAATGAACACTAAGATCTTTTAAGGAAGTGATGAATCGCAACACAACAGGAAGCTCTTTTAATTTTTCACAATCGCCAATACTGAGAGTATGGAGAAGGGGCATGGAGCCTTCTTCTACTATCCACTCTTCCCACTCCTCTAATCCATCAAATTGTAGCTTCTGCAGTCGAGGGAACCCACCCCTGGAGCAAACCATTCTCTTCCCACAGAAAGATCGATCACCTAAACTAATCTCTTTCAACTGAAGCAACTTCTCTAGAATAGGCATTGGATCCTCCTTCAAACGACACTGATGTAGAGATATGGTTGTAAGGTGAAAAGGAAAGTATCCTTTTAACAAACTCAAACTGAATTCATCTCCCATCTTATCAGCACTCAGATTCTCCAAGTTAGTGATGAATCGCAGCCCATCTGGAATCTCCTTTAATTTTCTGCAATAGCTAATATCGAGAGTATGGAGAAAAGGCATGGAGCCTTCTTCGATTATCCATTCTTCCCACTCATGTAATCCCCAAAATTCTAGATTCTGTAATTGAGGAAACCCATTCCTGGAACAAACCATTCTCTTCCCACAGAAAGATCGATCATGTAAACTAATCTTTTTCAAGTGAAGTAACTTCTCTAGAATCGGCATTGGATCCTCTTTCAAACGACAATGAGATAGATATATAGTTGTAAGGTGAGAAGGCAAGTGTCCTTTCAATTTGAATTCGTCTCCCATCTTACGAACACGCAAATCCTCCAAGTTAGTCATAAATCGCAGCCCATCAGGAAGCTCCTTTAACTTTTGACAAGATTCAATTTTGAGTAAATGGAGAAGGGGCATGGAGCCTTCTTCTACTATCCACTCTTCCCACTCCATTAGTCCTTGTATTGTTAGCCTCTGCAATTGAGGAAACCCACCCCTCGAGCAAATTATTCTCCTCCCACAGAAAGATCGATCATGTAAACTAACCTCTTTCAAGTGAAACAATTTCTCTAGAATAGGCATGGGATCCTCCTTCAAATGACACCACAGTAGAGATATGGTTGTAAGTTGAGAAGAAAAGCGTTGTGCATCAGGTAACCTTGGCATATATATCTCCAAATCCAGCTGTCTGAGATTAAGAAAATCCCAAACAAATCCTTCTTCATCATCATTCATGGGAATATAAAACTCGCCTTTTTTTTCTATAGTAAGATTCTCCAAGCATCTCATTTCACGTAGAGATGAAGATAGAGTTTCCGTAGTATACCTCTTGTCTGTAATAAAGATAGAGAGAGATCTGAGCCGTGTCATACCCTGTAGATCCGTCACTCTCCCATGTTTTGTGGAGAAATTCTTCAACATCTCCAGCTTGACCAGATTTCTCAATTCCAACTTTGTCTTACCATGTAATCTCCTCGGCAACCACAAGAATGTCAATTCTCGCATCTCATTCAAGACTTCAATCGACTGATCAAATTGGTTTACATCCAGGTTTAAATAGAGCAGCTTCTTCAGATTCCGCATAGAAGAAGGTAATTGAGTTACATTTGACTCCTTTAAACTAAGATATCTCAAGTGGATGAGCTTCCCGATGCTAGAGGGTACCTTCCCTCCTTCAAACTCGACCCAAGAGAGATCTAACACTCTCATCAGCTTATGCCTTGTAAACAATAAACTTGTTGCCATCCGTCTTTTGGTCTCGAGAAACAAGAGAGTTCTAAGGCTTGGATTCTTCACCTCTGTATCAACATTAAATGTTTCAGCATGCCCACTTACAACAGCAAGTCTGCGAGATTTACAAGGAGATTTTGAATTTGTAGTTGATGTGTTGATGGTTTGTACGAAATTCTCTTCTTCAGCTTTGCGTAAACAAACTTCTCTCATCATGTCATGCAACTGAAGTGTTTCAAATCTTAAAGTTTTAACATGTCTTTTAGAAATAACCATGTTTCTCTTCACCAATTCTTCTATGTATCCATCTGCAACCTCCCTAATGCTCGCTCCATCGAAATCCATTGGCCTTAGTATTCCTTCTGCAGCCCAGTAATAGGACAGTGTCTCCACATCTATTTCATAATCTTCTGGAAAACTAGCAAGGTAAAGGAAGCAATGCTTCAGATAAGCAGGCAGCTCTTCGAAACTCAGATTCAAAACATTGTAAACCTCCTTATTGATATTTTTGTCGTGAGAGCCAGTCCCTCTAACGATGTGAGCTTTAATATTCTCACGTATCGTTTTCCAGTGATGCAATGTGTACTTCTTTCGTAACATCCCGCCTAATACCTTAATAGCCAGTGGTAAACCTCCACAATGTCTAAGCATCTTCTTACTGATTTCTTTCATGTCTTCATCAATCTTAAATTCTGCACATCAGTTACAAGAATGTTCGAAAGGATCATATGTCTTGCAGATATTGTAGTCATTTTTCTTTAATTTATTTTTTAACAGAAAAAAAAATCCAAGTAGGCAGTCCTTGAAAACTAACCAGCTGTGTTTTTAAAAGGAAATGCTATCCTTAGAAAGAGATTCCAACTTTCTTCAGAAGTTAGGCAGTCTGGTTTGAAGGTGAAACATTGTTTATCAGAATGTAATGTCACTTCCTCATTGCGAGAAGTAAGTAAAACCTTCCATCCTGCAATACATTTATATATTTGTAATACGTCATGATAAAACTTTTAGTTTTTTTTTTTTAAATTGCCTAATTATGTATGTAACACCAGGAGATTCACCTTTTTTTGGCAGAAACACAGCCTCGATTAGGTTCCAGTCTCCTTCTTTCCATATATCATCACTGACGATCAAAGTATTTTGTGTTTCCAACACTCGAACAATCTTCTCAAAAAGTTCATCTTCCATCATCTTTGACACATCGCATTCTGGCCTGAGTTGGCGCAAGATTGTCTGCCAGACACGATTCCTTTCAAACTGTTGTGAAACACACACCCACGCTAATCCTGGAAAATGACTTTTTATTTTCTTATGATTGAAAACTTTTCTTGCGAGTGTGGTTTTACCAATACCACCCATCCCGGTTATGGCAACCACTTGACTGCTATCCTCCTCCAACAAATAACCAACCAATATCTCAATGTTTTTCTCCATCCCAACAATAGGTTGCTCTTCGTCAACAATAGAAAACGTTTGTCTTTGTTCTGTAACTGGAGGCATACACCTTTCTCTGACAATTTCCTGTTGTATGCCAGAACTCTGCATATTGTGTATCTCCTGAGTGATCCTCTTACTTACATCTTCCATATCCCTTGCAAGTCCCCAGCGTTCCATACTAACCCAATAAAGTCTTCTTACAATGGTCATGATGCCACAGAGACATGCGTCTATATCTTCTTCCATATCTATTGTATTTCCGAGTTCTTCCATTAAAAGATAGGTTTCGACTATATCTTCTGCGTCCAAAACAATTTCTTTGATGTCTTTGATAGCTTTTCTCACCGTAGCACTTGTATGTTTTTTGGCCTCTGCATCTTCCAGAAAACACCTTAACTTTTCAACATCGTTCTTTAATCCATTGAACTGCTCTTCAACTCCTTGAAATCGCTCAGTTTCTCGGACAAGTAGGTTCCAAAGCTTCTCGACTGCAAACGGTAAAAGTGCCAGCTCAGCCATAAGTCTCCTGCTCAAACATAAAATAAGTAATCAATAACCGCTAGTGCAAGCATCCTTGAGTTCATACATAGTCCGGATACTGCAAATTCTAGTCTAGATAATATATACTATTTTGTGGGATTTAATCTATGAAAGATATAAACAACTGAGATGAAAAAAATATGCAAAATACAAACAAAAAAAATTACCTCTTGAAAATCGATCGCTTTTCGTCCAACTGATCTGTATAAAGAAAATATGCGAATGTGTTTTAGGTAGAACGAAGATGAAGACCTATGACAAAGTGTTGATTATTCTTAGTCAACACCAAACGACACAAAAACCAGCTGTATTCACGTGTAGCCATTTATTCACGATAAGGAGTGAATCTATTGTAGCCACTTACATTTTGGCTGAAAATATAAGGGGATAGTTAGTACGTATGGCCTAATAGTACGAGTTTGTTGTATTACAATTATGTGATCTTCTGCTGATGAAATAAAAGTTGCAACATGTTCTTTAAACGCTGTGAAAAAGATTAATCTTGTTAAAACAAAATACAGTTGGTGTTAAGATTGTTGATGTTGTATATTTAGTTAAATGTAATTTTTCATGATCAAATCTTCAGTTTTTTTAAAGACGACCTAACATATACAAGCCATGAAAACGGCTTTGTCACGGTTAGTCAAATCCGAGACTATCTGCTCCCAAAGGCCAAAAATTCACGTGACAAAGCCGTTTTCATGGCTTGTGAGATCGCCTACAAGGCCGTGGTTTCTCGGCTTCCGAGTGCAGATCAATCCATGCCGAGAGGTGATTACGTGGCGTTGAAGGCACAGCAGAATCAAGCACTTTGTTATGTTAAAGTTTGTATTAGGAGAACTAACTTCTTTCGCCGGACACCGGTCGTCGGAGTCAACTATTGGGAGACGTTGGCGATCAAGATTACCTCCATTGCAGCTCAGATACTTGCTCCTTCATAATTAAGAACACACAAATCTTTAGTAATATAGAGAAACCCTCATTTTGACTCAATTTTAATAACACGTAACCTTTACATGCCAAACTTCATGTTGCTTTCATAAACAAAAACAAGTAATATTGCCAATGCAGAGCTGTTCCAATGGTAAAAACAATACATATCTAAATGGTTATATATTCAAGTCCCGTTGGAAGAGATACAAATGAAAGTTAATTGAACATTGAATATGCAGTTCATCCTAAAAAGATGTCTATGCTTAATTTCCTAATCATTTAAAAACAAGTTGTATTAAAAAATAGATACATTTGATTTTCTCATTTCAGTATACATACTACTACTAAGTGACAGTGACAAACATTTTCTAGTAAAATTAATCGAGAACTATACATGCAACTATTATACATTGCATTTGCAGACATGGAATATACCAGGTTTGGAAATGTGTAGAAAATACTGATCTCAGCAATTCATCATCTCCTATTCGATAATGGAGGAACTTGATCGATCATTAGCAGTTGGAGCTGGTGATTCAGTCGGTGTTAAACGACGTCAAATTGCCTTACGTTCCTGGATACTCTCCTCTTCTTCAAGTACAAGATTCATCCGTTATTGAGTTTTACTAATAAACTGATATGTTCTTACGTTGTGTTGTGGAATTGATTCCAAAGGAGTGATTAGGTCCCTTTGTCTCCATTAGAGGTCAGTTAAAGATTGTTGATCATAAGTTTTGATTTTCTGTTGGTTGATGAAGCTTTATCAAGTTCGCTAGCTTTGTTAGCTTTCCTTCCACCAAGTGATAGACCTCTATGTAGCCTACTTGTGTCCTTGTTGTCTTGATCATCCTCAGCAAGCAAAGGGTCTAAGCTCTCGAGATTTTTTTTTGTTGGTGCTATGTTTCACATTGCTTTACAAGGTTGTTTATTGTTTCCTCTTGATCATATGGTCAGTATATGTGTACTGCTCTGTATCTTTCATATTTCATATCGAAACACTGTGATATATGTAAGTTGATTATACTGCCCATGAGTTGTTATGATTATTTGTTATTTGTTTCGTACAGACTCAGAAATCTTGTGAATTTGAATTTTTTTTTTTGGTGAGCTAGTAGGGTTCATTCCCTGCACATCTCTCTTCTTCGAGAGAGCATTTTACTTTTGTTTTTTCTTCAAATCTGGTATGTCGATTCATCTTTTTTTTTTTTTGTGAAACCTTACTATGGTCTTCTAATTTTTGTTTCTCTGTATCATGATGTTCTTGGATCTTGTAGATGATAGTGAGACCCTGTTTTCCATCAAAGCTAATGGTAAAGAGATAAAAGTCAAGTCACAAAAACGAAATTTGAAGGTTTGCAAACATCATGAAGACTAAGCCACATTTAAAACTGTTTCCAGTTGGAAAAAGGAAGATTGATACTTTCTTGCTGTCCTACCGAAGACAGTAGTTATAAGTCACTAGAGCGTTTAAAAAACTGTTGTAGACTTTACATGGTGGGTCTGATCAATTTTGAAAAGGAGCGGGTGAACATTAGTATATTTGACATCCGTAGATGTGTTAATAGTTTAGGAGGATGGCACTATTTATTCCATGGCTATGTGTGAAAAGAGTGCGCGGCTTCCAATCAGAGGAGCGAACTGATACAGAAGAACTTTGAGAGAAAGCATACCTGAAAAAGTTCTACAACTTATATAGATGGATCGCTTGAGAAACCAGAAGAACTTTGAGAGAAAGCAACAAGGCCTTCCAGAGTTATCTGGATGCAGAAACATCACAAAGTTCTTCTTCTCTTACCTCTGTTATCTAGTTGGAAAGCTATCTCGGGAGTTCCAAGCGGAAGGAAATACAAGTTCTGGGAGACAGTCTATGCCATGTTTTGGGGAGCTCATGTTCCCGTGTTTTATCTCGGCGAACACAAAAGTGTTTCTCAGCCATAAATCTCTTGCTCAAACACCAGAGGAGGATTCATGAGTTCATAATTCAAAATAATATTTACTGAAAAATTCAACGACTAACATCAACTATTCTGGTGGAATCAGTCAATAAAGATGAAACTCGATTCGATACAGCAAATAATGTGTCCACTAACGAGTTTCATCTTTATACAGAAGCATGCAAAGATATCTCTAACCCACACCCGAGCTTATATACTCAAGCTTAATCCAGCCCATATTAGTTTAATCCGCTGGCACATTTGCTTCTCTGGACTAGAAACCTTCGTATCACCATATTATCAACATTCAGATCCTCCAAGTTAGTGATGAACCGCAGTCCATCAGGAATCTCCTTTAATTCTCTGCACCATTGAATACAGAGAGTATGGAGAAGGGGCATAGAGCCTTCTTCTATTATCCATTCTTCCCACTTTTTTAATCCAAAAAATTGTAGCTTCTGCAATTGAGGAAATCCATCCCTCGAGCAAACCATGCTCCTCCCACAAAAAGATCGATAATGTAAGCTTATCTCTTTTAATTGATTCAACTTCTCTAGAATCGGCAATGGATCCTCTTTCAAACGACAATGCTTTAGAGATATGGTTGTAAGTTGAGAAGGAAATTGGTGCGCTTCAGGTAACTTTGGCATATATATCTCCAACTTCAGCTGTTTGAGATGAACAAAATCCCAAACAAATCCTTCTTCATCACAACTCGTGGAATTATAAAACTCGTTGTTATATATACTAAGACTCTCCAAGTGTGAAAGTTTACTTAGAGATGAAGATATAGTTTCCATTGTAAACCTCTTGTCTCTAGTATAGATAGAAAGAGATCTGAGCCGTGTCATACCATGTAGATCCGTCACTCTCACATGTTCTGTGGAGAAATTTTTCAATGTCTCTAGGTTGACCAGATTTCCCAGTTCCAACTTTGTCATATCATGTAATCTATATGGAAAACACAAGAATTTCAGTTCTTGCATCTCTTTCAAGATATTGGGAATGTAGACTTTAACCGCCTCATATACTTGTAGGTTTAAATAGAGCAGTTTCTTCAGATTCCACATAGTAGAAGGTATTTGATTTGCATTTGACCTCTTTAAACTAAGATATTTCAAGTGGATGAGCTTCCCGATGCTAGAGGGTACCTTCCCTCCTTCAAACTTGACCCCTGAGAGATCTAATGCTCTCATCAGCCTATGCCTTGTAAAGAATAAACTTGTTGCCAACCATCTTTTGTGCTCGAGATTCAAGAAAGTTCTAAGGCTTGGATTTTTCACCTCCGTATCGACATTAAATGCTTCACCATCACCACATACAACAGCAAGTCTGCGAGATTTACAAGGAGATTTCGAATTTGCAGTTGATTTGTCAATGGTTTGTCCGAAATTCTCTTCTCCAGCTTTGCGTAAACAAACTTCTCTCATCACATCATGCAACTGACATGTTTCAAATCTTAAAGTGATGACATCTCTTTTAGAGATAATCATGTTTCTCTTCACCAATTCTTCTATGTATTCATCTGCAACCTCTCGAATGCTCAGTCCATCGAAATAAATTGCCCTTAGGATTCCTTCTGCAGCCCAGTAATAGGACAAATTCTCCACATCTATTTCATAATCTTCTGGAAAACTAGCAAGGTAAAGGAAGCACTGCTTCAAATGAGCAGGCAGCTCTTCGAAACTCAGATACAAAACATCGTAAACCTTCGTATTGACATTTCTGTCATCAAAGCCAGTCCCTCTAATGATGTGAGTTTTAATATTCTCATGTATCATTTTCCACTGATGCAATGTGTACTTCTTACATAACAACCCGCCTAACACCTTAAGAGCCAATGGTAGACCTCCACAATGTTTAATCATCTCCTCTCCGATTTCTTTCATGTCGATGTCAATCTTATATTCTGCACATTAGTTTACACAAATGTTTGAAAGGATCATATATCTTGCAGATATTGTAGTCATTTTTCAATAATTTACTACAACATAAAAAATTATTTCTAAGTAGATGTTCTTGAAAACTTACCAGCTGTCTCTTTAATAGGACATGCTATCCTTTGAAAAAGATCCCAACTTTCTTCAAAAGTTAGACCTTCTAGTTTGAAGGGGACACATTTTTTATCTGCATGTAATGCCACTTCCTCATTGCGAGAAGTAAGTAACACCATACATCCTGCAATACATTTATATCTTTGTAATACTAGGTGATTCTCTCGTGCTCATTCACGAGAATAAATTCTTATAAAATAATCAAATCATAATAATTGTTAAACATTTACATATGTTATTTATAACTTTCAAGTAATTTTATAACTTATATTTATGATAAATAAAGGAAATTGTATTAAAGTATCATTATATGGATATAAATATCTATACATTTGTTCATAACTTATAAGTTATTATAATTTATATGATGAAAATAATATTAGGTATTATTATGTTCTCATGTTAATTAGATATGTGATTCAATGTATAGTAATTTGGATGGTTTCATGTATGGTCTCAATATTTGGGTCCAAAGTAAACGACAATATTTTTAATTATGTTAACATTAAATTTTTATTTTTATTTCATTTAGTTGGTTCATTCTATTAGATTTGTGAATATATTTATACAAGTTTTTATAATCTGATATATGTTTTTTTGAGAAAAAGAAATATAAAGCTGGAAGTGCAATAATAAATACTTCTAATATTTAAATTTTTAATATATGTTATTTGGATAAAATTATATAATAAATTAATATGCTAAGAGATTGAGAGTTGAATAGCAAACAAATTTGGAAATATTTCAAAACTTCATTGATTGATTAAGAATTCATAAGGTAGTTACACCCAGAAATTCAAAAGGTCGTATTTATATGTATGTTTTCATCTTAATTAGGTATCTTACAAACATAATATTTTGGACAGTTTAAGTGTTTCATTGTTGGGTATGTTTTCACATCTATTATTTTAAATTGAACAACTGTTTTTTTTACTTTAATAAGATCAAAATTAAGTTACTATTTTTGGCTTAATTTAGTTCAGTTTATCCTTTTATATTTCTAAGTATATTTGATAAATC